AATCAGCGGTTATTTGCATTACTTGCGTATTTTTCACAATTACTCTTTTTAAAAAGGCATTTTTGCAGTTAAATTTATTGACATATTTACGCGAAAGAACACGATCAGGAGGACTCATCTTTATGCAGATATAAATTATAGAAACACACAAAAAATGGTAATTTTCACAAAAAGGACAATTACTTATGTTGCAATATTTAATTCTTAGGTTAGTTTCATTTAGCATAAACAACGGAGCAGTTTTATCCAGAAAATTATCAGACATTAATATTACAAGAATTATATCCAGTCTCGTTGCTCCGCAAGTTGAAAAAAGACAGAACTAATCTAATATACCTCTTGTTTTTTTTCTCTAAAGCCGGTGTCCCATACATTCGTTTATACGATGGTACGATGATACGAAAGTGTTGTTGTATTGGTTGGAGATCTGTCAGTTCGTACGACGGCGGACCAATAGAAACACTTTGGTACCATCGTATCATCGTGTAAACGGATGCATGGGACGGACCACCCCTCTCAAGATTTTTCTGGAATTCATTGAATACAGAGGGATAATGAGGGAGTAAAATACGAGGGCACAATATGGCAGAAATGACCGCGGTGCAAGGCCAAACACCACCTCGACGGTGAGGAAAGGGTTCTACTGGCCTGGCAGCTTAGCTGGAGTCCCACACATCCCAGAGCGACAGATCACCAGCTCTGGATGTGCGGAACAGACCATTTCCTAAACTTCACCGAAAAAAAATGGGACGGAGGCCTTAAGTCCTGCACGTTTCGCACATGCCCAGAAGTTCTCGGTCGAAAAATCGATATTTCAGTGCCGTCAGTCGTCGGTCAGCCAGTTGTAGCGCCACCAGCGTAACGCGGTGCCAAGGCCATCCATAGGATTGCTACCTCTCTTATTTTACTGATGGTGGGTTTATACACGAGAATAAGGATAAGGCTTAAGGCATAAGAATAACGCTTAAGGAATAACGCCTAATGGGGTGTTTATAAAGCAGAATAACGAACAATATTATTTTATGTACAGACAATCAAATGGGAGCATAGGCTTAAGAAACAATAGGGTTGTGTCTGTTTATGTCAACATTATCGCGGTAACATACCAATAAAAGCTTATTTCACATAAATATTGTACATTAAAATGGATTTGCCCACTGAAGAAGTGGTAGTTCTTTTTGGATTAATAATTTCGTTTTCTACCCTCACCACAGATATATCTCACTGATAAAACATATATATGAAAAAGGCGCAGCTAACGTCTGAGCACATGACGACACAAACAGATTCCAAATAGGAAGAGGAGTGAGACAAGGAGACACGATCTGGCCTTTTCACGATCAAGCTTTTCACGACCCTTCTGTGTACCTATTCTTGACGAATAGGAAGTAGAACAGCCGAGAGAAGTGGGCGCGGTTTTATGATCGACTGGTACGATCCAGTATAAAAGGCATCTCCCGGGTTTTCTAACCTCAAATCGTATTTATTTATGTTTTGTTTCTGAGGAACGGGTGTATCGATCTTTTTTAACGAGTTGTGCTTAATTTAGTTTTAAAATGAAAGTTGAGGAATTCAATAATATTATATTAAATGACATGATAACTGAGGATGTGGATGATGCCATGGAATAATTTGGGGTTCCCAAACATCTCTGAGAATAAGAGATCTACACGAGAATAAGCCTTGTCATTTCGGACCGGCTGTGGACAAATTCAGTGATTCCTTTTGCTTGAGCGATAGCGGCCTTGATTTTTCACAATTTGCAATGGATTCCATTGTATTATTCTATTTTTCCTGAAAGTTACATTTACTTCAGCCTCTTTAAGGAACATAGACTCATTTTATGACTTATTATAAAGTGCTGAAGGAAATCGGTTACATAAATAAAATTCCCCTTTTACTTTCAATTTGGTAAATAAATATCCTTAAACAGTTAATACTGTATTCATTTTACTCGTGCATTAACTTACCTCTATAAGGCACAGAAGCAATGAAATATGTATACGAAACAAACACTTTAATTTTTAATACGGACCTATAAACGGTTTGGAAGTAAATACGTACGAGGTAATAAACGTCCACAAAATATTTCCCCTATGGGGTATGTTCTGTGATCTCTCTCTCTCTGTGATCACGACCGTGCCTGCCTTTTTTAAAACCAAAGTTGGTATGAGTTTCGCCACAATATTAAATAAATGACGTTGGCAAGCCTGTCAGACCGTCAATATTTTTTCAATTTTGATTGGTCACATAAGCTGGCAACAGTGCTTGCAGGGACAGGGTGTTCACTGGCATTCCCTATCATTCAAGAATACTATTTTTTTCCGCTGGGGATCGTGAGCCGGAGCGACTCCCTTCTCTCAAGTCAAGAATAGACAAACTGGAGTCCGTGTGCAGACGGACCAACTGAGACTCGTTGGGTATCAATGTTGATGGAGAGCGGTCGAGTTATCTGCGATTTGCGGACGACAAAATTTTAATTGCCGACAGACAAACGATGCGCGTAAAATGCTGGAAGAGCTTAACAACATTTCACGTCAGGTGGGATTGGAAATGAACCTGTCTAAAACTAAATACATGATCAACATTGTAATGAGCAATTGAATTATGCTGAACGATACCCCAATAGAACAGGTCTCTTATTAATACCTGGGTCATGAAATAAAAGTAAATAGAGATAACCAAACACACGAACTTAACAGGAGAATTGGTTTGACTTGGGCTGCTTATGGAAGACTGACACCTCTTTACATCCAAGATACCCGTATGCCTGAAACGGAAGGTTTTTGACCAGTGTGTTCTCCCGGTCCGGACCGACGGTGCTGAGACACTGACGCTCACAAAACAATCTCGAAATAAAATCAAAATAGCACAAAGGAAGATGGAGAGAGCTATGTTAGGAGTGTCATTGAGGGACCGAATTGGCCAACAACTTAATAAGGCAACGTGGCCGACGCCGTGACGAGGATAAACCACTTAAAGTGGACAAGGAAGGTTGTTGAGTGAAAACCAAGAGAAGAAGCGTACTGGAATCGAGGGCGGCCACCAGCTAGGTGGACGGACGACTTGAAGCGAGTGGAGACAAATTGGATGCAGGCGGCCAAGGGCCGAAGAAATTGGGCAATGTTACGGGAAGCCTACGTTCAGCAGTGGACAGCATAAGGGGTGGATGATGATGATGATGATTTCTAACCTCACAACAAAATGTAAATTCGATGTTTGGCGGTCACGTGGGACATTGGAATGTCATTTATCTTACAAACTGCGCATGTCTCATTAGAATAAAAAAAAAGTTAAAAGTTGGTAACTTTCTTAAGCCTTATTCCTTAAGCGTTAGGCACTATTCGGTTTATAAACGCCTCGATGGACTGATGCGCAACGAACTTTTAAGATTCGCCGTAATCGTTAAGCGTTATTCCCTATTCTCGTGTATAAACCGACCATTACTCTATCCGCGAAACTACATGTAAAAAATTTGTCATGTGAGAGATGCTTTCTGTCTCGTCGAGTGCGAACCGTGGTTCAGAGGGAGCCACCTAAGGTTTCAGGGATTTTCCCATAAATTTCAAGTAATGTAATATGCTGAAGTACTCAATGTTTCAATGCTTGAAAATGTGTGAAAACCGTATTTAATGGAGCGAAGTTAGCCAGTTGTATTTGTGTAGGTGAAATAATGACCAAATTCATTGGACTCCACTGATACTTCTTGTACATCATTTTCAAGCTAGAAGAAGCAGAAAAATTAGAATTCAGTATAGTATCGTTTTATTATTCAATTCAATTATTTATTGTGTAACAGGAACTATTGCAATATAACGACAAGCAATAAATGCACATAAACAAAACTTACCTGCCGACAAAAAAACTACAAATTTATTTTTTTTTTGTTTGCCCGGCGGCTGGAGGATAAGAGTCTTCTCGAAGACGCGGTATGCAATTTTTTAAAAGTTTTCGGTTATTCTTCCTTTTATCCTTCTTCATTTTCCGGATTTCTCCGCTTGCACCACCAGGCTAATCCACTTTTAATAATCCCGGTGACTAATTCATTGGACATGAAATTCTTATGAATTGGGCATCTTAACCATGACCGGTCTAATTCATTATGCAAATATTGTGTGGATCTTTTGCTGATCTTTGTTTGAAATGCAAAGTTATTAAGGAACGTTTCAAGTAAAGTTATCCCATTTCCAACAGCAACAGCCAATTTTTGGCTGGGGTAATTCAGCCTTTGCTCAGAATCTGACCATTCGTTAAATGAAATAAATATATTGTGACTCTCTAAGTAACTAGCCCATAGTCATCTGACCACATTCCTCAATCTTTTCATGTTGTAACCCGTTTCAAAAGGTCCCCATTAAAAGGAATGACATGCATTTTGAATCATTCTGTATATAAGTTTCTTTGTATCCATATTATCATTTATCATAAACACAGAGAATGTCATCATTAAACGTTAGAAATATCAAGGAAAGCTTTTCCTCATTTTCAGCTATTTGTCAAGGGGTTGGCTACCTTTACACTCACAAGGAAGGGTGTTGATTAATTTTTTTATAAATGTGTTAACCAGGGTTGATGTTGCAATAAATATCATTTTTATAAACTTTTAGTGAATTTGAATTAGTTGTAATAAAACTTTTAAATTCGGCTGCACTGACTACAACTTAATTATTTCTTGCAAATGTTCAATTTTAGGTTGTCTGATTAATACTTGGACTAATTTCAACAAGGATTTCAAATTGGCGAAACTTCCATTATTTGAACTGCATTAGAAATTACATAATTTCACGACTAGTTTTCTTGTAAATGTATTATAATAGTTTTAGAAGTTTTAAAACGATAAACGCCATTTATTAGTTTTTGAGTTTGCCTCTTTAGAAGCTTCAAACTGTTTCCAAGCTTCAACTCATGTTCTTACCTCTTGAACGCTCTGCTGTTGTATTTCTGCTCATTTAATATGCGCCAGTAATATGACAACCATATTTTTTTAATATCTTTTATAGACAGTTATTTCGGGTGCGGAAGCCTTAAATACAAATGTGGATAAGCTATTAAATAATTTGGAGGAAATTAACTTAAAGTTGGCATTGACAAAAAATGAATTTCACAGTTTACGAAATACTCAATTTATAGAGAATCGAGTTTATGAAGATGATGAAACTTTGGAAACTGAGGAACATCAGGTACATGCTTAGGTATTCAGCGAAGAATTTAATTGTCTTAAACAAAAAAAAATGTTGCAGGCTGACATTAAACAGCTAAATGATGAGGAAAAGGAGATTGCTTTAAAAAAATCAATAGCGAAAGGTTTAGAAATAATGGAAAAATATTATGATAAAGTAGAATTAGCTCTAAGCGACAGTGAAGGGGAGAGCAATGAGAAAAGGTACAGAAAACATAAAAATACACAATTTGCAAGTGTTTTCTATATGTTCTTGTGTAATTAAATTATATTTAGCTATGTCATGCAACCAAAAGATTTGTATGCGGACAGACCACTTCCATATTTGGTTGGAAGCAAGGAATGGCATCAGAAATGGCACGTTGGTCTTTTGCCTTCTGATTCCGAATCAGAGTCAGAACCGGAGGAAGAAATGTATAGTAGCAGTAACTCAGAAATTGATTTGCCTAAAAATCGCACACTGGTAATTACGTCAAAAGTTCTAATAATTGTGTATCACTTATGCCTGCTTTCTAGGTCTCAGAAACCAGTTCTGAATTGGACTTTACAAATAAGGAGACTGATCCCGATGGCCGCTCAACATTTAACAATTCTCGAGGATCTAAGAGGTTGCACTCATCTTCTGAAAGTTCTGAGAAAAGTAGTTCACTGCATAGTAAGGTAAACTAATTTAACAATAAAATTGATAGTTGAGCTATAAATATATATACAGTGTGTCGCACTTAAGATAGAAATATTATCCCGTATATACCCGTATTTTATTTATTTTTGGAAGTAGGGTTTTCAGGTGCAGAGATAGTCATGAGCTTTATTGGTTAGGGTACCCATTTATAATTTCATATGAAAACCCAGCTTACTTCGACTTTGCGAATAGGGAAAATGCGCTATATTAATCGTTAGAGATATCGGAAAAAGTTACTAGATAAAGTAGTTCAGAATGTTATTTTAACGGTAAATCACGAGTTTCAAGTTAAAAATTAAATTTTCAGTCAGCTATCACTAAAGCAACGAAAAATGCAACAATACATGATGTATTCAACAAAATGAAAAAATAAACAGAAAAGTTAAAGCGAAAATGTAGTATTATCGAATGTGGCCTGCTTCAACTAGTCAGCCCTAGTAAGCGATCATAAAGTTAGTGGTATTTTGAGACATACGCCGGCGCAATTGAGTCTAAAAGTAAGGGATCCCTTAATAAGGATGCTGTTGTGTCCTATTGTACAGCTTTATTTCTACTTTAAACTGACAATTGACAACCACCGTTCGCTTGCAGGGGCCTGATTTTCATGCGTCTATGTGAGCACTCCCGAATAATTTGTATATTGCCGATTGCCTAAAATCTGTGAAAAGCCAATTCGATATTCACAAGCGATATTAATCTATTTCTGTATCACAGATGGCCAAACTCTTGATTCAATCAGTTCTGTGTTTGCGCATGATAGTAAGATTCTCACACATGTGAATTGTCACTCGCCTGGTCTAGACCAGGTGAATTTCTTATACGTTAAATTATATTTACGTACACACATTAAAATTAACCCCCCAGTAATTTCATAGTATGTACAGGGTTATTGATTGAACTTTGGCCACCCCGTTTTTGCATCTAATTTGAAATTTAGAGAAAAATGTTAAATACTAAAGTTGTAGATATGAAGGTCTAGTTTAGTTTAATATAGTACCAAGATACAGGGTGTCTCAAATTCAAGTGACAGACCAAACTTACCGTTTTTAATTTTATTCCGTACATTTTATTGCATTTTCGAGCTATTCGTAAAATTCTAGGCCCTTTTGATATAAGTGTTCTAATTGATTTTTAACTGCTGGAAGTTTGACGTCAGAAAATTGGGGAAAATTCSGAAAATTTTGAATGCTTTTAGAAAATCGTCAATRGCTCGCTTATTATCGATCGTAGCAAAAWAAGGTTATACCAACATTYTTATGGTGCTTAAGACGGCCGATCGACCAGACTGATTAGATTGAGTTCAGCTCTTTTGCTTATCGAGATATTTGAAGTTTTTTGRAAACCATATTTTCGCGATTTGCTCGAAAACTATKAAAGCTGGAAAATTGAAAAAATACCGTTSGATAGTGCCCGATGAKCTCGCKATTTTATACAGAATAACTTTTGTCGACAGAAAGCTTCTTTTYCGAGAYAAAAAAATAAAATGTAAAATTTCGAAAAAATTTCAAAAGTTTCACCCACCACAATCTTTCGCRAAAAWTTTTTWAATTTTTTTAAAATTATTCCTTGACACGKGGTTAGATATGGAAAAGTTAAATGACAAATCCACTTTGGTCGGTTAAAAAAATTCCCTCTGTGAGCTACAGGGGAAGACGAAAAAGTTTGTGCAGYCCCTTATGGAAGGAACATTTTCAAAATKAAATAAAATTCTGAAATGACACCAAATTTTTACATGTTTTTAGAAAATCGTCAATGGCTCGCTTAGTATTGTTCGTAGCAAAAAAGTTTATACCAATTTTCTTATGGCGCTTAGGACGGCCGATCGACCAGACTGATTAGATTGAGTTCAGCATTTTTGGTTACCGAGATATTTGAAGTTTTTTGGAAACCATATTTTCGCGATTTTCTCGAAAACTATGAAAGCTAGAAAATTAAAACATTAGCGTTCGATAGTGCCCGATGAGCCCGAGATTTCATATAGAATAACTTTTGTCAACAGGAAGCTTAATGAATAGACCTGAATAGACTAGTTAGACCGAAACATAGCTAATAGATGTGGTTAATGGTTTTTGGATGCCATAATGATAACCTATAAGTTTCCGATTTTGGCCAGACGAATGAATCGAAAAAATGTTCGAGAATTTTCGACTTGTCCAAGTTTTTATGTAAACAAATATTTCGAAAAATTCAATGAATTAATTCAATGAGCTGGCGATGACGTAGGTCGATAGAGGGATAACGAAGCTTTAGATCCAATGAAATCGATTCCAACAGGACTAAAGGTTGACCTTGAAACCTCGACAACAGTTAAGCGGAAATGCTCAGTGTCCAAAATACAATAAAAAAGTAAACCATACCAATACTATAACGTAAATTTAATTTGATTCTGTAAAGTTAGGTTAGTTCCATTTAATATTGAAAGTCGAGAAGTAGACATCCCAAAAAATGACTGTTTTTCGTTAAAGAAATAAAGCTAATGCAGTATTAAAATGAGGATTAATCTTATTACTGCATAACAGTATGTATAATTTCCAATGACTTTGAATTTAAGACGCAACAAGTATTTACGCAATGTTAATGAGACCTTGAAAACATTGTTGCCGTTCTTCTGATCTAGTTTTGTTCACATTACTCAGTTTTAAATAGCAATTTTTTAAAACTATTTTTCTTGTACTCCAAAACATCAATTTTAATTGCCCTGCATAATAAAAGATTATTTAAAATAAACTAGATAATAAGTATATTTTTTGCAAGTCATGCTCTATGAAATTGAAAAAACTTAACTTACATGAACATTTGTTTTTAATTGTATACTGCTTTGGAACCAGCTGATGAATTCAAGTTATAGAAGTGACAGTGCTTCGTGAGTATCGTTCTTTTAAAGAAGACACAAGTCAAATATGTATGTATCGAATCCGACTCACCATTTTAATATTGTGATAGTAAATAAAAAAATGGCAACAATGCGCGTACATTAGTGCATACAGCAACGGTTTGTTGGTTGTTCTTTAATTTTATAATTTAGTTTAGGTTTTTTAATTAACTGTCAGGTATATTTTCCGACATTTATTTTATTTTTACCTTTTACTATTGATCAGAAGCGCCTTCAGATATCTAGGAGAAAGGAAGAGAGAACTCAAATGCGAGTGATTTTACTTAATATAGCAACTTAAATACTTAACATTACTTATCAGCGCATACATATAGAGGTTTTATGTTTTATTTTGTAGTAGAAATACCTGTTGAGTATGTAGGTAAAAATGCCTTTATCACTTGGATTCGGCAACACATACTATCATTTTTTAGGCGCCGATTGCAAAGCAAACCTTTGCTGAGCAATTAGCTGAGAAACTTGGAGATGTAGTCAGCAATCAACGGCGAAAATCAGATGTCGGAGCGCAACCCACAACAAAGTTTGCTCCGCCAAGAAAAACTGGTGAGTAAATGGTAAAAATCAGACAGTTTGAACATGGGTTTGACGTGAACATTAAAGTCCCGAAGCATGTACTTACTGTTTTTCTCGGGCGTCAGCCACTAGTTTAATTCCGATGTAAAAGACATTTACAGCTAGATATTACAAGGTTAATGTTGATTCTAAGTTGATTTTATGATTTTTAGGAAGCTTATTTTCGGATAAACCGCCTCCACTAGACGAACTAGATGATGTAATGCTTCCTAAAACAGCGCGACATGGATTGTTCACTGCCGACTTGATTTCAGAAAGTAACGAAGCAAATTCATCATGGGAATTCCAACAAGAAAATGGTAGGTAACACAGCGTTGACAAATTTTCTTGCAAAGTAGAAAGTGAGTAAAAGCTGTTAGTATTTTCAGATACCAGTAAAAGACCTGATCATGAGAAACTACCACCCTTTAGAAGCAGTAAAGTTTCGGAATCTAAGGTAAAGCAACTTAATGACATACAGAAATACATTTTTAGGAATGCTTGATTTTCCACATATAGGTTCCTGCCGGTTTATTTGATAACTTAGAAAGCTCTAGCGAAGAAGACTTATTGGCGATTACAGAGAAAAGAAAGTTTATGAGCACTTCAGCGGTAAATCCATACATGCAACCATTCAAAGCAACAGTCCCATTTGTTGATGATGAGCCGCCAAAGCTTATTACGAAAGATGAAGTTCAAGTTAATAAGAAGGTATTGCACGCGACGCTGTTTCACTATTTTTTATTTTATACTTTTTGGGCCTCACCGCAAAAACAAAACCGAAAAACAAGCACAACCTCAAGTTGTTATTTTAGCTAAAATCACATTTTCTATAATCATTGAAATGCTTTTTAGAAGCTAGTAGAAAATAAAGCAATTCTTGAAAAAACTGGCATCCCAAAAGTTGGCAAAACTGATTTAAGCAAAATATCTCAAGCACCAAATAACAGCAAAGTAAAGGATATACAACCAGTCATTGAAAAGAAACTCAGCCTATTTGACGACTCGTCGGATGACGAAATATTTGCGCCAAAGCCTAAACCCGTGCTATCCGCAGCACATACAAATAACCTGGTTAATCAGCCCTCAAAATATGAAGTCACATCACCTGATATAGATAAAGATTTGGATAGACCTGAAGATATTTTGCACGCAGTAAGGGAACCAACAGAAAAAGTGAAACCAAAGAAAATCAGTCTTTTTGACGATGACAACGATTTATTAGAAGAAGAAGAAGAAATGTTTTCTGGAATCTATAAGAGGGGTAAATTGTCTGATGATTTTAAAGAAACATCCAGGAAGCACGCTAAAGGCCTTTTCGATGAATCAGACGATCTGGATATCTATATTGATTCAAGTGGTAATAAAGCGTCCAAAGAGATTGCAAAGAGCGTGATTGGAGATGCTCCCCGAGCTTCAGACTATTCTCTGAACTTCTCCACTAAACCCGTAGGCCTGTTTGATGAGCCCAACATTAACGAGAATGATCTATTTTCATTTAAGCAAAAAACTGAAGTGAATCAATTTGATACTGGAGCAGTTGATGTAAATAAATGCAATGATGTAGCACGTGATAATGCTAAAGAAGCGTCTGAAAACCAAACCGAACCGTTGTCGTCAAATCCTGGTTTGATGGTAGAACAGCGATTGAAGATTGACCATGATTCTACATGTGATGAGGAAGAACCTGCAAAAAAACTAGTTACTGATATGGGAACGAATTCCAAAACCGTAGATTTATGCAAGAGTTCGAGCGATTCTTTTAGGTTCACTGACGAAGGACGCAAAAATGTCGAAATTATTAAAGATGTAGAAAGTGTCCTAGACGAGTCAAAAGCGATACAAATCGAACATAACACACCGCTCTACCATAATGAAGATTTAAGCGAGGTGGCTATTGAAGGCACAGAAGCTCTTAATAGTACGTACATATTTATTTATTTATTTATTTAGGGTCTCATCGACAGCTGTAAGCCATTTACAGATTGAGACTATATAACAACACCACATATAATACATTGAATATTTGAACAAATCATTATATTTGAAAACATACGCATACTGTTTGCCAGAATTCAGTCTCCCCCAGGAGCCCAATTCTCTAAACCGGGGAACGGCGTTCTCATGAGAAAGGAGAACGTGGTTCTCTTGTGAAGCGAATATTTGTATTCTCGAACTCAATCGAATTATCCCATCGCGCAACGGCAGTAGAACAAGCTTGTCTTGCCAATTCTCGTGAGAACGCATCGTTCACTTTTCTTATAACTGCACTTTTTCGAATATCCATTTTTGTCAACACGAATTTTGCGATTAATGAGTGTCTTGGAAAAAGGAATTTAGTGAAGAAACTTGTAAGACTTGAGTAGACTGTAAAATATAAGCCATCTAATGGGTTTATCAACAGAAAGTAGAGCTCGCTTGAATAGAATAGTTCTCAACAATTTCGATTGTAAGTTTTAGTGTTTGGAATCGTGTATTGTAATAGAAACAATTTTAGAATTACAAAATTTACTTGTAGTTGCAGAGGAAAAAGGCACGGAACTTGTATCTAACAATTAACGCTTTTGATATAAGTGTTGAAGGGTTTGTCAAGATTTTAAGACTAAATACGCAGCTGAGGCTTCAATTAATAGATCAGGTGACCGCATATCTTCGAGTACCAAGCAGATGGTCTGCTATAAGTATAAAATGTACATCGCCTAAAAGACAATGATCAATTTGTAAAATACAATGAAGTGTTTGAAGAATGGATGAGCAGATTATTGAAAAAATTGAATCTTCGGAATCCGATGACTTAAATCAAGCACGTTATTTACCTCATCGGCCTGTAATTAAGGAAAGTGGTACAACGAAAATACGACCTGTGTTCGATGCTTCGGCGCACGAAAAGGGGAGACCATCTCTGAACCATTGTCTGGAAAAAGGCCCTAACTTGATAGAACTGGTTCCATCAATATTGCTGCGTTTTAGAGAAACCCGAATAGGTGTAGTAGCCGATATAAAAAGGGCGTTTTTGCAAATCGGTATCAACCAAATCTCATAGAGATTTTCTGAAATTTATTTGGAAAAATGATCGGGATCAGGATATTGTTCTAAGACACAGACGTATAGTTTTCGGAATAAGCAGTAGCCCTTTCCTCTTAGCTATGACTATAGATTTTCATTTAACCGAATGTATCACTCACTGTGATAAACCCGGAGCTAAATATTCACGCAAGACTAGAGAAAAATTGAAGCACAGCTTTTATGTTGACAATTGTGTGACGAGTTTGGAAGACGAGTCAACAGTACACAGATTTATAGAAGAGTCAATTACGGCAATGAAAGAAGGCTGTTTCGACTTAAGAGGATGAGAGTAAATCCAAAGAAGAGAATCTAATGCTGAATTARTCACCCAATCTGTTTCAGTAATTGGTTTGAGTTGGKGCTCCCAGAGAGATGTATTATCTCTAAATAGGCATTTTTTAGAAGATGACGTCGATATGGACGAGATGATCGCTACAAAAAGGCKAATTTTGTCTATTACACAGAAAATAGTTGATCCAATTGGATACACATGCCCGTCGAGTCTACTTCCTAAGCTGATGTTGCAGAAACTGTGGACGGAAAATATGACCTGTGGCCAACCAGTTGGAGAAGATTTAACCCAAGAATTTAAATCCTGGATGAAAGAAAGATATTGGTTGTTAAGGATTGAGATTCCTCGTTGGATACTGGCTGGTGATGGTGAATCCGAAAACTTGAGCATTCATACCTTTTGTGACGCAAGTCAGGATGCTTTGCGGGCGGACTTGGGTGGTCAAGTAAAAGTATTTTTGTTGGCCGCAAAGTCTTACACCTATCAAAAAATCAAATTCCAAAATAATAATACCACGGTTAGAATTGATGGCTGCAACTATTGACGCCAGGCTCTTTCATCAAGTTAAAAATAATTTACATTCCTCTTATGATACATACTTTTTGGAGCGATTTTGGAGAGTAATTTCTTGGATAAAGCGACGCGAAGAATGGGGAGCTTTTGTATCGAACAGGGTGCAAGAAATACGGGTTTTGACATGTGCAAATCAGTGGCGTCACGTTCCCGGAATAAAAAATCCTGCCGACATCTCATCAAGAGGTTGTACACCAAAGCAGCTTGTGAAATCAAAATGGTGGGAGGGACCTGATTGGTTA